AACCCCTCCTTCATCGTTTCTGATCCTTGGCGCCTCTGGGTGCCCTGCCTCGCCCGGGTTGTCCTCTAAAGTTGCCGGCTGGGCGACGAAAGGAGTCCTTCCCTCCTCTGAAGGTGCTCATTTTCTTGTCTCTTGCCTTCTGGATGCCTGCGAACTTCGACTTGCCCGAGTAGCGATGGGACGTCTGCCTGATGATACTGGCTAGTGTATCGATGGACTTGATCATAAGGACTTCTCTGGAGTCTTTGGTAACTTCTTTGGCGACGTCGTCACTCCAGTTGCAGGATGCCAGTAGTCTTTGTCGTCTCGCCGACGTAAACGCTGCTGAGATGGATGATAGATGGTCCGTCATAAACTGCTGGTCCCTCTTCTGCATGAGTAGAGCAGAGTAGATCATCCGGTCCTCCTCTGCGGTAGAGTCCTTGAACTTGGTGATGAGCGTCTCATTCATTGCCCTGGATCTGTTCAGGCCGAAGAACATCCTTCTGGACATTGTCTCTATCTGCGCCAGCTTTTTGTCGTCAATCTTATAAGACTTGGTTCGGGCGTCGTTGATGACCTTGTAGTTATCATCTATCTCTTGTGCCTTCATGAAGGGGTCCATAATGTGTAGAGAGAACTTCTTAGCGTTGAATTGTGGAAGATTCGGCGCCTGGGATTTCGTTGCCTTCCTCAAGGCTGCATCCAAGTTCTCTGGAACTTCCGAGATGGGATCAATTGGCGGTAAAGTGATCGTGTCGACATCCTCGTCCTTCATCAGGTACGTGAGTGCTGTATTCACTTCCTTGGAGGGTGACGCTAACTCCAGTCCGTTGGCCATCCAATATCTTATCTCTGCGTCCGAGAAGATAATACTGCCATCGTCCTCTGCGTCAGGGACGCTGACCTGGGACCGTTGATCATCCTCCGCTGGGGATCAGTGTGGAGACCTGTGTGGAGACCTGTGTGGAGACCTGCGTGGAGACCTGCGTGGAGACTTGCGTGGAGACCTGCGTGGAGACCTTCGTGGAGACCTGCGCGGAGACCTGCGTGGTAGACCTGCGCGGAGACCTGCGTGGAGACCTGCGCGGAGACCTGCGTGGAGATGAACCTGTAGAGCTGCGTCTGTAGGACGATCAGTGTGGAGTCCTGCGTGAAGGCGAGAGTGTCTTGGTTCGTGAATGCCTCAGTGAAGATGTTGATGACGTCCTTGAGATTGTCTCCGAAGGCCTGTTCATCTGCGTCGTCAATGGAAGGCCTCTCCAATGTGTCGTCGGCGGTGGGTCCTCTGTGCAGGTCCAGGTCCTCTCTGTGGGTGGTGTCCAGGACTGGGTGTCGATCTCTTTCCTGCTCGAAGCGTCTCTCCATCATCTCCATTATCTGCTGCGGAAACTGCAGCATAAAGGCCCCGGGGTTGAATGCCTGCGATGATAGATGAGCTGCCCTCTCTGCGTTCGTAGCGATATGGTCCAGGGATCTCTCATCTGCCGTCAGTGTAGATACCTCGGACTGCGTAGATAACTGCGCTGATGTCAATGTTGCTGAGGCCTGCTTCTTCTTGGGGTGATGTATCTCCGGGATGAGGAGCGGCGGCTCATCATAGAGACCTCTTTCTTCCATCGGGACAATCTCGGCCGAGAAAGTCCTAGCTGTCTGCGCCGACGTCCCCGTAGAGTTGCTCACCGTCTTAGGGGTGTGTGGCCGTGTCTGCGTAGAGGATGGCTTCTTCTTCTTCCTCAGCGAGGAAGGGATGTCCGAAGTGGCAGCCCTCTTCTTCAAAGTGGCGGACAACGTCCCATGCCAATCCTCCGAGGACATCACCGGCGGATCACTGGAAGGAAGAGGGTCGTCTGACAGCAGTTGACACGTGAGGGACTCAGCCGGCTTATCCATGACTTGACAAAGTCGCCTGGATTTGTCTTTAGCACGCCTAAGTACACAGAAAATGTATTTATTAAATTCAATATTGGTTAAATGCTGACAAAGATTGCAGCGAGAGCTGGAAGTGCATGGTGTTGTGCAGCTAGGGCACAAAGAATGCCGGTCTGCAGCAGAAACTCGGAATCTACAATGAAGACAGGTTTTCATGAAATGTAAACAACTGAACAAACACGGACAAACTCGTGAATAAACAGTGAAAATTACGAATCAATTTCAAACCATATTGTTGAAGGATACTCCCTAAACCCCTAGAAAGGTCATGTATAGGGTAATAACTAAGAATTAAAAGGATATAGTGCCGAATAGAAGACACAGGCGCTCTCTCAACCGTCCACTAGGGCGAAGAAGGATAGAGTGCAGCATGTGGGAGCGGTGGCGCCACTTTTTCGAGCCAAAACGGCCAGACGGATAACTCATGGTGAGTAGTGATTTTACGTCTGTTTTTATTGAAGGGAGCTTCAATAGAAGATACAAGTGTTCCACTAACGTTCGCAAGAGGAAGGAGACAAGCAATAAGCATGAGTCAGGATAAGGAAAAATATGTAAAATGTTACAATGTCAATGGTAAAATGCTCTTCATGAATATGTTAACTAGTTCTGCTCCGGAAAGGATCACTACCACAAATTTCAGGCAAAGTCAAAGTTGTTGACCTTGTGCTTATCTCCTCCTTCTTTGCAAATGTTAGTGGAACACTTGAATCCCTTGTAGTTCTCTCACCTACAGGTTGCCTCCCTTTTCCCGCACAAACAGTCATGTGAACTGCCATGCTTGCCACTCTCTTGTTCCTTCTCACACACTTACTCCCCCTACATCAGGTAACCCCTTCAAAATGTTCCTTCTCACACACTTACTCCCCTACATCAGGTAACCCCTTCAAAATGTTCCTTCTCACACACTTACTCCCTCTACATCAGGTAACCCCTTCAAAATGTTCCTTCTCACACACTTACTCCCCTACATCAGGTAACCCCTTCACTATGTTCCTTCTCACACACTTACTCCCCTACATCAGGTAACCCCTTCAAAATGTTCCTTCTCACACACTTACTCCCCTACATCAGGTAACCCCTTCAAAATGTTCCTTCTCACACACTTACTCCCCCTACATCAGGTAACCCCTTCAATATGTTCCTTCTCACACACTTACTCCCCTACATCAGGTAACCCCTTCAAAATGTTCCTTCTCACACACTTACTCCCCTACATCAGGTATCCCCTTCACTATGTTCCTTCTCACACACTTACTCCCCTACATCAGGTAACCCCTTCAAAATGTTCCTTCTCACACACTTACTCCCCCTACATCAGGTAACCCCTTCAAAATGTTCCTTCTCACACACTTACTCCCCTACATCAGGTAACCCCTTCAAAATGTTCCTTCTCACACACTTACTCCCCCCTACATCAGGTAACCCCTTCAAAATGTTCCTTCTCACACACTTACTCCCCTACATCAGGTAACCCCTTCAAAATGTTCCTTCTCACACACTTACTCCCCCTACATCAGGTAACCCCTTCAAAATGTTCCTTCTCACACACTTACTCCCCCTACATCAGGTAACCCCTTCAAAATGTTCCTTCTCACACACTTACTCCCCCTACATCAGGTAACCCCTTCAAAATGTTCCTTCTCACACACTTACTCCCCTACATCAGGTAACCCCTTCAAAATGTTCCTTCTCACACACTTACTCCCCCTACATCAGGTAACCCCTTCAAAATGTTCCTTCTCACACACTTACTCCCCTACATCAGGTAACCCCTTCAATATGTTCCTTCTCACACACTTACTCCCCTACATCAGGTAACCCCTTCAAAATGTTCCTTCTCACACACTTACTCCCCTACATCAGGTAACCCCTTCAATATGTTCCTTCTCACACACTTACTCCCCCTACATCAGGTAACCCCTTCAAAATGTTCCTTCTCACACACTTACTCCCCCTACATCAGGTAACCCCTTCAAAATGTTCCTTCTGACACACTTACTCCCCTACATCAGGTAACCCCTTCAAAATGTTCCTTCTCACACACTTACTCCCCTACATCAGGTAACCCCTTCAAAATGTTCCTTCTCACACACTTACTCCCCCTACATCAGGCAACCCCTTCAAAATGTTCCTTCTCACACACTTACTCCCCCTACATCAGGTATCCCTTTCATTATGTTCCTTCTCACACACTTACTCCCCCTACATCAGGTAACCCCTTCAAAATGTTCCTTCTCACACACTTACTCCCCTACATCAGGTAACCCCTTCAATATGTTCCTTCTCACACACTTACTCCCCTACATCAGGTAACCCCTTCAAAATGTTCCTTCTCACACACTTACTCCCCCTACATCAGGTAACCCCTTCAAAATGTTCCTTCTCACACACTTACTCCCCTACATCAGGTATCCCCTTCAATATGTTCCTTCTCACACACTTACTCCCCTACATCAGGTAACCCTTCAAAATGTTCCTTCTCACACACTTACTCCCCTACATCAGGTATCCCTTCAAAATGTTCCTTCTCACACACTTACTCCCCCTACATCAGGTAACCCCTTCAAAATGTTCCTTCTCACACACTTACTCCCCTACATCAGGTAACCCCTTCAAAATGTTCCTTCTCACACACTTACTCCCCTACATCAGGTAACCCCTTCAAAATGTTCCTTCTCACACACTTACTCCCCCTACATCAGGTATCCCCTTCAATATGTTCCTTCTCACACACTTACTCCCCCTACATCAGGTAACCCCTTCAAAATGTTCCTTCTCACACACTTACTCCCCTACATCAGGTAACCCTTCAATATGTTCCTTCTCACACACTTACTCCCCTACATCAGGTAACCCCTTCAAAATGTTCCTTCTCACACACTTACTCCCCCTACATCAGGTATCCCCTTCAAAATGTTCCTTCTCACACACTTACTCCCCCTACATCAGGTATCCCCTTCAATATGTTCCTTCTCACACACTTACTCCCCCTATATCAGGTAACCCCTTCAATATGTTCCTTCTCACACACTTACTCCCCGTACATCAGGTAACCGCTGTATTGTGTCTGTTCGTTATGCCACACTTACGCTCCATCACATGGTCCACTGCCCTCTGTAACGCTGCTCGCAGTGTTTCCAGAGGTTCTGTGTCATCTGAGGAGAAACATATATCATCAGTAAATTTATAATCAAACCGTTAAAGTAAACTGTACATCTTATGCACGTAGATAAATCAAAGTGACACTGTGTGTTTCATTTATAACCATTGAGGGAGTTAATTCCTAGATTTAACTAGAAATGTAGAATTGAAAAGTTTACCTATAAATTTGATATTTATATTACTTATGCTATCTAATGGTGTCACTTTTATCATCCAAAACTGAGTTCCACTGGAGATATCGCTTGTGTGAGATCATATGATTTATTACCCACGTGGCAGACGTATGGGTAGTTGCATACTAATCTCGTACGTCACACGAGTGTCGTATCATGTTGACCTGTGTCGTAACGACTTGACCTGAGATTCTAACGATTTGATTGGATAACTAATGACCTCTCAGTTAGGTCATGTTGTGACGAAACCACTTGTTCATTCATAACAAACACGCGAATTCATTCATTCTACAACTTAGATGCATTCTGGGAATGTAAACATTGCGAACGTTGCCGTGTCACTGTTTAATTGTGACTCGAACTGAGACATTATATCCGTCGAAAAATATAAACGCAATGTTTCCACCAGTGATGTCAGCCGAATGAAGCAACTGCAAACCAAGAAACAGGGTCCTACGGAGTAGTTTATTGTTGGAGGTTGTACGAGAGGCGATGACAACTGACATGCATCGTGACGTCGGTTACCAAGGGGACAGACCAGAATGGCGTAGTGACGTCAATACAGTGTGACGTCATGCAAAAGTGAACTACAGAACAAAATTCTTCCGCAACCTCTTTATGAAACCGGTTTCGGTTTGAAACCATAACAATAACAAAAGTACACTATTTTGTCAATTTAATGCATGTACGACATGGGTAATAAATAAAATACCACACTCGGTCTCATTACATACAAATTATTTAAAAAAACTTGTGACCTTCTTATGGTCAGACACCATAAGAAGGACACTCGTTTCGTATAATTCGTATGTAATGGGACCTCGTGTAGTATTCTTTATATCTCTTAGGAGCTATCATTTTGACAGATATTTTGTACAATGCCCTGACAATGCTATGACGTCATTAACTTGATGACATCACAATGCTATGACATCACTGCACTCCAAGTCTAATGGTAGTACAGTGTTGAGCGATGTTCATTTTTCATTGAAAACTAATGAAGAATGATTTTTGATGATAAAGAGAATCTCACCCTCGTGTCTGATATATGATATATGGGTCATTTTCAAAATTGGTAGGATTTTCAATTCTTTATTACAGTAAAATCAAACACATGAAAATTGATTTAGGTTTTATTCAAATGAAATCTGAAATACTTAATTATTCAATAATACAAACATGCAGGCTCAAATTTACTAATTGGCCTTTTAATTGATACATAAGTAATTAATAGGATGAGGGAAAGTCCTGACCGTTACCACTTCTTAATCAGAATAAGGATTTAAAAACATAATTCATAAAAATCTTTAAAAGATGGCATACACAGCTTTTACACCGACTTAATCAAACTTGAAGGTAAAAACTATTATCATTATTTTTGAAAGTATTATTTTGTATCTTTCATTTATTTACCACAAAATAATTGCATTTTTCTAAATGATTATTATGCATATAGCTTTCCGCAGGTAAAATTGTCTAAAAATCACATCAGCTACTAAGCCCAGGACATCTTTAGATGACACCAGCATAAAGAGGAGTGTTTCATGTATTATCATGAATTAATTACAGCAGTCAATTAACACCAGTAACGGTTAGGACAATAGTGGTAACGGTTTGGACAGGAATGGTAACGGGCTGGACATAAACCTTAAACAATTTAATTCAACATAGAAACGGGTAACATGAAAGGAAAAAAATATATTATTTACTTCAACTGCTAACCCTATTTTGGACAGACAGTGAAATGTGTATTAGAAATTTTAACTTGTAACAAATGTGACATGTTTTCTTCCATGCTGTGGTAACGGTTTGGACATTTGTTATATCAATATGAAACTTGTGAATGAATTTAGGCTTTTGAATAAAAACAAACTGTAGCTTCTAAAGAATAGAAAAACACACCTGTCTAGGTTGAAAATCACTTATAATCTAAAGAAGAGTGCAATTGAGGAACAAAAATTGAATGAATAGTATCGGTTGTGACATTATTGGTAACGGTCAGGACATCAGTGTAACAAACAAATGTTATCCCTCTAAAAAGTTGCAAAAGATTAAATTCTGAAAGGTACTGCAACAACTATGATACTGTACACATGGTCATGCTACACAGGCCACTGAATAGATAACATTTTGCTGTTGATATTATGGTGCAATATTAGTCTCCACGAAATATACTTCTTTCATTCACTCGGATACCTTTACTCTTTGTGAATCGTGAGATGGTAACATATGTTTATCAAATACAAAGGTTTGGCCAACATATTAGCACCTAGCAAATATTCAAAGTAAATGGTAGCCTTACATATCTCACAGTTAAAGTTAAAACAGTTTCCACCAAAAATTCTTTAAAGGTTGGAATACTGTTACCATAGATGTCCTAACCGTTACCTTTAATTTATAAAGACTATAGATCTTATAGAAAATAGAAACTTAACGTGATAAATTCGTTTTGGTTTTTATTATTTAAAGCAGATGGATAAGTAAATGAAAAAATATTATCACACCATGGAACATATTCTTTAAAATTGAAATTTATTAAAGATATGTCCAGACCGTTACTATTATTTGTCTAAACCGTTACTAGAGACTGTGTTTTTTATGATACTACATCAAAACTCCTTTGAACAGAAAAATTCCATGCTTAAACTTATCTTAACCCTTAAAGTAATTATAAATTTGTTATATTTCAAATAGTAATGAACAACTTTTTGAAATACAAATCATTTTGTCCAGACCGTTACAAGGACTGTCCAAACCGTTACTTTGCAGAGTGGTAACGGTTTGGACAGTAACGGTCAAGACAATTTGTAAGTAAATCTAAAATATAAAAATGAATGATCCCTAAAAGATTTCAAAGGACATGCCTTCCACCTCTTCCATTTCTGGGCAACATATCCATTGAAATGTAAAAAAAACAAAGAGATATATTTGACACAAAATACATTGGTAACGGTCTGGACAATTAAGGTTGACATATAACATTTATACTTATTTGATGGTGTCAATTTTCTGCAAAATGCGTTGAATTTCATTATTTCATTTGCTGTCAAATGCACAGGGGCTAGCTCAAGCACACACAGGAAGTAGTATTACAATCCAGCTCCAGATGGAAATTATTGCAGGAATTTCATACACTGGTAACGGTCAGGACACAAAATGACAGGACAAGCATGTAACAATTTGTAGAAAAAAACTTTTTAAGTTAAAAAACAAATTAAATGCAGTTTGAGTATGCCTGTTCAATGGTAACTGGCATAATATGAATTAGTTTGTTTATTTGCATTTATATTTACATTATTTGTGAACATTGATATTAGGACTGTCACCTCCGGACAGAGCAAATCGGCCAATTTTGACCCTAAAATGTGGCTAAATATAAATTTCAAAATGACAAGACTAATGATATACCACTTTTACTGACCAGTAAACTTCTAAATATGTTTTCTAGCACAAAAAAATCCTTTTAAGTTAACAGATTTTTTTTATATTTGGAACGGACAGAAAATCCTACCAATTTTGAAAATGACCCATATATTATATCAACACTCGCTGATAAAGGTAAAAATATCCTCGGCAAGCCTATGAAATGACGAACATCAAGTTAACATTAGCCAATCACAAAGCAGCCTTGTTCTGCTTTGTGTCACCAATTACTAATCAAGACTATTCAAAAATATTTCTCAATTCAACTTTCAACGAAACTAAACCATATAACATTCAGGTCCATCATATATCTGAAACTCTACAGCAGTTCTAGTCCTGTTATGTTAACTTTCTTGAGGTTGCATGATCAAAAAACACATACGGACACCTGTCTGTCTGCCCTCACACCTGCCTGACATCACATCCACCAGTATGCCCTCACACCTGCTTGACATCACATCCACCAGTATGCCCTCACACCTGCCTGACATCACATCCACCACTATGCCCTCACACCTGCTTGACATCACATCCACCAGTATGCCCTCACACAGTTTAGTCTCTATTCGCCTACATCTCAATTCGCCTTCAACCCATGTCGCATACAAAAACAATGTAGGCTAATTGGGATAAGAGAATGCACCCCCATACTCTTAGAATGAGCCCGACTCACTGGTCAGGGCAATACTAATCTCGACTGTTGTTAAACTGATAAGTGTAAATTGGCACGGCTCCCATGGCCGAAAGCTATGAAATAAACAATGCCATTGTTTTAGAAAGTGGTCAAATGTAACGTATGCTATATTTGGGATTACACTTTTTTAGTAAAGTACAGATTCTAGTACTTTTTGGGTTGAGTCCCATCCGATTCGAACTCACACCCTCAGAGTCAGGCACCTAATCAATGCGTTATGAGATATGTCCATTTTAAATAACATAAGATGTTGTATTATAGATTAACATATTTATCCAGCGGATAATTTGGGGGCCAAAGCCAAACTTTTTCAATACCAAATTGATAAGATCTTTAGGAACAGTATCAAAGGCCTTTTCAAAATCGATCAAAATTGATAAACCTGGAATGTGTCCATGTTTTTGTCTTAAACATAATGTCATGCAGTAATCTTGTGTTTTCACTGGTATTTCTACCAGGCATAAATCCAGTCTGATTTTCATGTATAAGAAACTACAATGTTATTAAAAATAAAATTTTCTGATTAAAATTGATATTTTATACTTATCCTGACTCATGCTTATTGCTTGTCTCCCTTTTCTTCCGAATGCTAGTGGAACACTTGAATCCCCTTTTGAAGCTCCCTTCAAAAAAGCGGACGTAAAATCACTTACCAGGAGTCATCTCCCTTCCCCAGGTTTTGGCGGGAAGCGGCGCCACCTGT